TAAAAATCAACATACAAGGGTTTTGATTCATGGGTTTTTTTCCCCCTCCCCTCCTTTCTTTATATTAATTTGCACTTGGTTTTTTTTTTAATCTCCTGGTTTAAAAGGAGGTCGAATAGGAAGAAAAAGAATTTATCTGTGTCATTTTTCTGCAGGGGTTTTTTCTCCCTCGCCTTTTAATCCATTAAAAGCCAAGAATGGAGAAGGATGTGTTTATTTTTCCTCTTTCCTGCCCGAAGGGGGGGAAATAAAAAAAGGAAACCACCCCAAAAAGGCTGTCAATCAATCCTCCTTTCCTCACCAGCTGCTGTCTTCATCCTAATAAGCAGCTTAAGAAAAGAAGGGGGGGAAAAAAAACTCCAATTTGCACCCAGGTTAAGATTAAAGCTGGCATTTTAAGCGCCTTGACACCGGGAAGGAATGCACTGGAGCGTGACTCACTTGTGTTTGTGTTTCACGGAAGGGAAACTGAGGCCGCCGATCTCCTGTGAGTCAGGGGAAGGGAATGGGAAGTGGGAACCCTTGAGGGCATCAAGCTTCCCTCCAGATGTCGTGGGGTGCTCCAAGGCTGGAGGCTTTTTAAGAAGAGATCGGGACAGCCTTCTCCATTCTGAAATGGAATAAGGTCTCCTTGCTTGAGCAGGGGGCTGGACTGGATGGCCTTCCAGGATCCCTTCTGTTATTCTGTTAATGAATCAGTGGAACAGCTTTCCTTCAGAAGTTGTGAATGCTCCAACACTGGAAGTTTTTTAAAGAAGACGTTGGATATCCATTCGCCTGAAGTGGTGGTAGGGTTTCCTGCCTAAGCAGGGGGTTGGACTAGAAGACCTCCAGGGTCCCTTCCAGCTCTGTTATTCTGTTAATGAATCAGTGGAACAGCTTTCCTTCAGAAGTTGTGAATGCTCCAACACTGGAAGTTTTTTAAAGAAGACGTTGGATATCCATTCGCCTGAAGTGGTGGTAGGGTTTCCTGCCTAAGCAGGGGGTTGGACTAGAAGACCTCCAAGGTCCCTTCCAACTCTGTTATTCTATAAAGTGGATTTTTTCCCCAGAGATAAAATGCAGGGTGGGGAAGTGAGATAAATGTCCGGGGATTAGAAAGAGAAAAGGGAAGTTTTAAAGGCAGAAAGTCTTCTTTGGAATCGAATTACGCTGCACAAATTTAGGATTGTGGGAAAAGAAAGGATGCCAAATATGGAATACAGAAGGGATATTTGTGGGATAGAAATGTAGAATAAGAGGCCTTTTTGCACGTCGCCATGAAAATGTGTGAAAATATTTGCAATTAACACCCCGAAGAAAAGAAAACTTTCTTGAAGGGATGGGAAATTTCCCACCTAGATGTGGATCCCTGGAAGCTTTCAAGAAGAGACTGGACTGCCATCTGTCAGAAACGGTGTAGAGTCTCCTCCTTGGACAGAGGAGGGTTGGACTAGATGACCTCCAAGGTCCCTTCCAACTCCGTTAAACCTGTTTAAAGGATACGAATCCAATCTCAAGAATAAGGACCAGTAGCTACGCAACTCGATAAATATAGCTCTTTTATTTGAAAAAATCAACATACAAGGGGGGTTTGATTTTTGTCCAAGGAAAATATATATATATATATAATAAAGCTCCAGGAAATTTAAAAAAAAAAGATCCATTCTTAAAATTCAGCCCGGATTGCAATAGCAGCTATTTAAAAATTGTCTCGGCTCAAAACTTGGATGGAATTTTGCCCTCTCGGCGAACTACTGGCCGTTTGACCAAAATAATAATAATAATAATAATAATAATAATAATAATAAGCCATCTTCCAGATCCCGTGGAACTCTCTGCCACCAGATCTCACAGCCAGCGGTCTGAAGAGAGTTTGGGAATAGGAAACATTTGGAGTTGAGCTTGGGGATAAAATTTGAGTTTGGGNGTTTAAAAAACAAGTCTCCTTCCTGCCTGTCCGTCATCATGTCAAAATTGTGTCAAAAAGCACCACAAACCAACAACGGAAACCCCTAAGGAGCATCTCCCCCAGGGGGGTGATTGAGGGCGGATAAGGTGTGGTGTGCTGCAGGTGTTTTTTCAAATTTTATGGCTTTTTCCATGGAATGTCAGCCTGGGTATTATTTCCTGTTCTGTCTCTAGAACAACAATAACAATAATGCACCAGCAACTTTTGCAGGGATAACAATAATTTCTTAAAATCCTTCGCCACCCAATTCCCGCCGACGGTTGGTCCTGCAGCTGTTCAATCCCTTTCGGCTGAATTGGGTGGCAATATAAACGGAATAAATGGGAATTAAATGATTTTTAAAAGCTCCCTAGGAGACAGTGTTTTTCTTTCCTCCAATCCTGGCGGTTTTGAAAGAGGTGGACTTCAACTCCCAGAACCCCCTGCTGTCCAGGGAATTCTGGGAGTTGCAGTCCATGGAGGTGGCAGGCTGGGGGGATTCTGGGAGTCGAAGCTCACCTGTTTTAAAGCTAGCAAAGGGGGAGAAACGCTGGTTTAAGCCAGGAGGGGAGATTAAAAATAAAAAAAATCCAGATGGAAGAGTTATATTCACATGAGAACAGAGAGTCCTAATGGTCTCTGAACATGGGCAAAGTGCATTGGGCCATGCCAGGGGAGAAATTCTCTCGCTAACCTTCCTCTTTCTCTAAAGTTTCGTAGTTTTCAAATGGGTGGACTACAACTCCCAGAATTCCTCACCGGCTGGGGAAACTCTGGGAGTTCCAGTCCATGAAGACAGACTGGGGAATTCTGGGAGTTGAAGTCCACCCATCTTAAAACTACCAAAAGTTGCAAAACTTTACGTTCTTGACTTTTAGAAGGACGGTGCCAAAAAAAAATAAAAATGTTCTCGGACGATAAGATTTGCGTTAAAAAAAAACCACCCCCTCCGTGCGGACCAAGTTGAAAAGGCCGACCAAGGAGCTAGTCCTCAGGGAGGCGAGGAGGCTTGTTTTCCTGCTCTGGCGAAGCAGCACCTGTTACATCCATCCTCGGGGCGTGTGAAGAAGGCAGGTTGCCAGCCAAATTACAGGGATCCCTTTGCCAAAATCTCCCCGTTGCTGAAAACAGATCCGGGTTTCTGCTCCGTCTCCCAGGAGGGAGGGAGGGGGGATCTTTTACAAGCCCCCCCCCCAGCCCAACCTCACCCTCTGTTCTGATGCCAGCCTTAAAATCCAGTTTTCCAAACTTTTACTGCCACAAACAACACAAACACACCCTTAATAGTTTGACTTGTCAATCTAAGGCAGTGTTTCTCAACCTTGGCAACTTGAAGATGTCCGGACTTCAACTCCCAGAATTCCCCCAGCCAGCGAATGCTGGCTGGGGGAATTCTGGGAGTTGAAGTCCGGACATCTTCAAGTTGCCAAGGTTGAGAAACACTGATCTATGGTATGTGGCTCAGTTGGCGGGCGAGGGGAAAACACCCAGCCCCTTGGCAACCGAGGCATCAAACCCATTTGGCGTATGGATAAGAGTTTGGGCACAGCCTAAACCACGGTTTTGCTTAACCTGGGTTTATCAAAGCCAAGGAATTACAGGCCTGGATTTGTTTTGCTAAGCAAAACAGTTGTCGGTGTTCCGACGGAGGCCCTAATTAAATCATGAGCCTCAAGCCAATCTTCCAAAGAAATCCTGATTTATTTATTCGGAGCTTCGTGTCGGCAAGTATCCAAGTGAAGCCAGCTCTGATCCACGTCATTGACGGCCCAATCCTGTTTCCCATCCCTCCTATGGCAACTCCAGAGCAGGCCAGGGATGCGAGTTGACAACGGGTGTTAACCCAGCTATTTAAGATGGATTCCACCACCTTTTTTTTGGCCACTGTTGTTAAGTGAGACATTGCAGTCTCCCCATCAATGTTGTTTGCTAACGGAGGTCGCCAATGGGGAACATGTGACCCCCACCACCAGATGCTTCCACCGTCATAAATGCGGAGCGACCGTTCAAAGAACAATGGCAACGGGGGGGGGGGAGGGACTATGTTTCACACTTACGACCGTGGTCAAAATTCGCAAGCTTGCCAACGGACTCGTCTTTGTGACGGTCGCCCCAGGGAAGCGAGATTCACTCAACAACCTTGTTGCGAGTTTAACGAGCGTGATTCGCTTAACAACAGCGGCAGGAAAGGGGATAACGGAGCCCAACTCGCTTAACAACCGTCTGAGGTAGCAACTGAAATTTAAGCTCCATTGAGGTCGTAAGCCGAGGACTACGTGGGAAGCTACTGAGTGGCGCCACGGGGGCTTCATATGAGGCGTAAGTCCAGTTACTCGCTCCCCCAACGGCTGCCGTTGCTTCCCTCCTCCCGGCTTTCGTTTTTTCCCACCGCCAGGCATGCCGGAGGCCGCAAACGCCTTGACCTGTTTGGGATTTGGCTGCTTTCATCCCCGGGTGACGCAAGAGCCGCGTTGATAAAAGCTGCACTTTGCAACCGTGGAAGAAACAACCGGCCCAACCAGTCTGGCCGGATCCTGTCGGTTGTCCTGAGGAAAGCGCGTCGTTTTTGTTGTGCTCGCGAAGCGCCTGTTGCACGGAACGACGGGCCATCGGAACGGATATCGGAGGGCCCCCCCCGAGATGCCCCCCTCCCTCCCTCCCTCCCTTCCCATCGCTCAAGAGGCTTCATCAGCTGAGTCTTCTTTCCAAAGGGATCGAAATTGGTTTTCTCCAAAGATTTTTGGCTTCTCCATTGAGGCCTCTGAACACACCGGAATTGTTGGTTGGAATAAATTGGGCAATATTTTATTCTATCCATCCCTCCATCCATCTATTTATCCTGTCTGTCTGTCTCTCTGTCTATCTTTATCCCACCTATCCTGTCTGACTGTCTGTCTATCTAATCTAATCCTATCTATCCATCCCTCCATCCTCTCTCTCTCTCTCTCATCTATCTATTTTTCTCCCGCCTCTATTCTATCCTCCCTCTATATCTAGCCATCCATCCATCCATCCATCCATCCATCCATCCATCCATCCATCTATTTCCCGCCTCTATTATCTNAATAATAATAATAATAATAATAATAAGCCATCTTCCAGATCCCGTGGAACTCTCTGCCACCAGATCTCACAGCCAGCGGTCTGAAGAGAGTTTGGGAATAGGAAACATTTGGAGTTGAGCTTGGGGATAAAATTTGAGTTTGGGGTGGAATGGAAAGTCATGCCTTGATGAAAACGACGCTAATTTCCTACGGATTGGGATTCCGGATTTAATTCCGATTCACCGGTGGAAGTCAGGAGGATGTCCAAGCTTGGCCACTTTTGAAGGTTTGGGGACTTCGACTCCCAGAATTCCCGTCCCCGGATGGGTGCCGAGGTACGGAGATGCGTTACGTTCTCCGAGCACATTTCCTGGGGCAACCGGTCGGGGCAAAAATCCAGGAAAAAGTGCTCGCTGGCGATAAGGCACGTTAAGGTGCCAGGCGAGGCCTGGAGAGGTGATTTTCGGGTGGACCTGAAGAGGGGGGGTGTCCCAGGGGAGGAAAAACCGAGGAAGCAGAAAAATAAATTGGGCAACGCGGCAGGATTTTGCAAGCCAGCCGCGTTCTTCTGTGCCAGCTCACCAAACCAGCCTCACCCGACAGGAATCCGGATCGCGCGGGGATGCCAAGGAGCTGTCGGCGCGCGGAGAGAGAGCCTGATGGGTTTGCCTCTTTTGCCGTAAAAACACAATCCGGGACTGGAAAAACACTTTTTTTTCAAACGGGAAGAGACGGGTGCTTTAAAAATATGCGCATTTGGCATCCGAACTTCAGCCTCCCTTTGAAAAGAGACGCGCTAAGGGGAGGCAGCTTCAATGCTCCATTTTAAAGGAGAGAATTGTAAAAAAAAGGAGATTGTTCTTATTTGTTTCTTCCATTTTCTTCCCCCTTCTCGGATGTTTTTTTGACTCCGCTCCGGAGAGATATATTGACTGCCCTGGCATTCCTCTCTTTTAGGGGAAGGGGTCTCCTGCAGCCAGGTGCCCATCGGATGTGGGTTCCGGGTCCCATCAGCCTCTGCGCTCGGAGGAACGGAGGATGGGACTTCTCGGTTTGCCCAAAAGACCAAATATGGCGGAGAGCATTTGATGTGGCCGTTGTTGTTGACCAATGTCTTGGTCAAGGAATGGTGATTTCGTGACGATTACTTAAATCCGACCACAAAAACAAGTTGTCGTCTGTAGAAACACACCTCAAATCAGAAAGACGTACAGACTGGAGATAATTAAATCTGGCTGGGGGATTATTATTATTATTTTTGCATAAATTTGCTTCTTGCCACCGAGATGAGCGTGGAATGGACATCCCTGGGTTTCTGGCAACTCTTCAGAGCCCTCGATTGAATCCTGGCTGGTTTAATGGGAGGAAAACACCAAGGATCGGCCAGAGCCCCTCCTGGGGGGGGGGAAGGGAGGGGGCGCCAAAACTGCTCACGCCTTTCTAAGCGGGATGGTCTACGTGACCTCTAGTTGCCCACTGGAAATAATCTCTTTTGGGGGAGAAGGTGGGAAAGGCACTACTTTAAAACGAGAAGGAAAAAAAAACAGGGATGGAGGGACAACCGTCTTCCAGATCCCGCGGAACTCCCTGCCACCAGATCTCACAGCCAGCGGTCCGAAGAGAGTTTGGGGATTCGGACACATCTGGAAGGCCACCTCTGGTTGAGATTTCTGGGGGGGAAGGGGCGCATGGGGGTTGGGGGGACATAAGCCAAGCCAATGCGGAGAAGATTCAGTTGGGGAAAACCCCAAATATTTCTTCCAGAGGGACTTGAAAAGGCCAATTCCATGCACCAAGGCCCCGTTTTTTCTAACGCCCCGGATTGTTCCACCGTATAATTGCACGCCCATCGCCATCTCCATGCAACCCGACGTATGTACAAAAAATATATATATATACATATTTAAAAGGAGGCTCTGTTACTTTAACCGCTCGTCAATGCCCTGAGAACCAGATTTTTTTAAAAAAAAATTCCCTAAATAATGCTCAGTTTTTCTTTTCACAGACTCTGGTTTTCTCTCCCGCAGCGACCAAAAATTTAAAAAACCTTCCCTCCAATTATTTTAAAATCAAGAAGTTGGTTGCTTCGGTGACACGCACCCCAATTGGGGAAGAAACCTTTTTTTGGAGATCCCTCTCCGACCCCCCGGGGATTTTGCCAAGTTCCCGGGGGATCTTCAGAGAGCATCCAAACGAACCCCGAGAGGGCCTTAACAGGAGCTGGTTTGGAGGTTCCCTTCCGTCAGAAGTGAGGCAATGGAGGACGGGCCGTAAGCGCTGTCAAACTCTTCGTCCGAACTCAGCTGGTCGTCCCGGAGAGAGGACTCGGCCGTCGAACGCGCTGCCTTGCGCCTGGAAGCAAAAAAAACAGGGGAGGGGGTATGGTCAAGAGGGGGGGGGATCCACTCTAGGACGATGGACGCCCTTCCTGGGCTCCGAAGGGAAGGAGACATTTTTTGCGGGGATCAGAGAAAAGGGAAGGTCCAGGGTTATGGGCTA